AATATTTTTTTACAAAACCTTCCCATCAGTTTCATTGTCTTTTGTGTGGCCCACCAACAAGCAGAAGCTGTAGATACCTTGACTTGTGGCTGAGAGGCAGAAGGGAGTCACATTGTTGGTCTTGCAAAACATGAGCAATTGTTCAACTGTGTGGTTATGACTGAGCAGAGTGTTTGTCTTCGAAAAGGTGCATCTGCAATGGGGACCACTGGGTCTTGCTGGTCCTGGACAGGAAATATGCCAAATGCTGGATGTTGGTGAATTGGGTCATGGTTGGAATGAGAGTATCAGATGATGTGGCACAAGCATCCTGGTGTGTACTCAGTATACACTGCACAGATGTAGTATTTTTTGGCTATGCAAAATGATTAAAATTAATGTCAAAAATGATTAAAAATGCTATGTTAATGCATAAAAATGCACCATTAATGCACCATTAATGAAAAAAATGCAGCATCAATGCAGAAAAATGCAGTGTTAATGCACATGCAGAATGAATGCAGAATTCCACCTTTTTCAATTTTGTTTGTCCTTCAGGTCAATCATTTTTCACTTGGGAAAAATACTCCATTTGCCCAGTGACAGTCAGAGGGAATGCATTCTGTTGGCAAACTGAGAGTCTCTCATGCTATTGCGGGAAGCAGGGGACAGATTTTGCTTTTCGTTATCACACAGCTCCTGTTGTCTGTTATGTTTCTGTGTCTCAGATATATACACAATGGTCCCATTGGATTAAGGAATGACATTTCAACACAACAAAAGAGTGACAAGTAGAAAACAAAATTGTCACTGCCTATGCCAGCATTTGAAAAATCAGACATGAGGACATGGATTGTTAGGGCCTATGGGAGCAGACATTTCCCTTGGCCTGGCAATGGGGGGTAACTGAGGGTCAAATCAAGTGGGTGGTACCAAGAGAAGGCAAAAGACGTTAGGGTTACTTATGGTGTGAGGAGTCAGTAACTGTTGTGCTGACTCTTCACTAAAAAGGTGATGAAGTCTTCACTTGGTACACCCAAGTGAAGACTACAGTTAGTTGACCTCTAAGAAGAGGATTTGACGCCAGTGGGATGCCTGAGCTGTCCTTCTAAGGATCTGCCTCTGAGCCCTGGTTGATCTTACAGCTCTGGAGCCTGCAGTACTTCAAACTCTGAGATTCAGAGGTACCACAGGGTACTTTAGACTCTTTAACAAGGTGCCCTTTGCAAACTTTAAGCTTGTTCTGTTAGCTATTGATCCCACCAGCTCAGAACACCACTTGAGGTTTTACAATAACCTGAGGAAAGAAATAAAGAAAGGAACTACAATAATCAAAGTAAAACACTATCACTTTACTCAATATTCTTGGTGAAGAATCAAGTAAGTTGTGATGATGAGTTGTGTAATTATAAGAACTGGGTCCCTCTTCCAAATTAGTGGAAAGAGGAAGGATTTATATATCCCAAGACCTAGGTGTCAACTTGTGGTTGGTGCTTGGTTTGATTGTCCTTGGGTTAGGGCTTAACTTTATTACTAGATTATATTTAAGTCTAATTGCTTAGAGCATCTCCTATTGTTTGAGTAAATTTACAGTGAATTTTCTGTACATACTCACTCGGTACAGTATCATTAAATACAGAATAGTGGATTTCCACCATTGTTGCTTTATCTCAAACAAAGTACAGTATGTACAGTACAGAAACCCCTTGCTCCCACTATTGTGCATTTGGTAAAAAAACTGCAAATCTCACACTCGGGGTCTCAAAAACTTATGGTTGGAAATTGTTCAAACATCCATTTGAAAGGAATCAGTTTGCAAAGAACACAACTGATCTGATAACAATTGAGTTCAAAGCAATCACTTTGAAAACGAGATGATTGGGTTGAGAAAGATTGATTTGAGAACGATTGATTTTAAAACAATCGGTTCAAAAACAATCAATGTGAAAGCAATTGATTTGAAAATGAGAAAGTTGAAAATGATCAAATAAGAAAACAAACATTTTATGAATATGACCATTTGAAGACAAATGATCTGGAAAAAAGACAAATTCACAAGATGTGATAGGTACCAATGGCAACACCTCAAAAATGGTGTTTGTGATGTACATACAGGTGTAGTGGGATAGAGTGGGACTGTGATTTTGAGGATGTTGTATGATCAGCTTGGTAGAAGTCGAGCATATTTGCAGATACCAACCTCTGCAGAATCGGTAGAGGCCCAGTACATTTACTGGACCTCTACAGAATTTCTGCTGATTCTGTAGGTACCAATGCGTGTTTTTGACACGATTGGGGATTTTGAGCCTTGGTACGGTAAAATTTACCGTACCAAAGGCGTTTACCAAGACGATAGGAGATGCTCTTAAGTGACTCTTGATACTGAGCCATGAGGTGTAATCATTATGGTTTTAGACAAGCTACATATATCTACATATGTATTACATATATCTACATATGTATTACATATATTCACATGTGTGTCTTTTAGTCCATGGTCCTGTACACAGGGCTCAGGGCTGATATATGGTGTCTCCCTAATAGCCTCAACGAGGTCTGGTGGAAGGAGGAACCTGATGTGTTTCTCTTCCTTGTGATTAGTTGGTAGACCTCTGGACAGGACATTTGCATCATTATCATTGGATATTATTCTCATTGGAGTTATATCCAGCTCCATATCAGCCAATAGGTGCTAAATCAACTTTCACTCCTTGTTAACAAATCTGTCTCTTGACTTTCTCTTCCATAGAGTTTATTTTCAGGTGGTGTTGTCAGTACAGACAATCAGATTTTTACCAGCCCTGCCTTCCAGTTGCTGGAGCATCAGGAGACTCAGGCATATGGCTACAGTTTCCAACCAAGCAATACATCCTTTGATTCCATTCAATGACTCCCAATATTTTTCAGTCAGAACTGGCACCACTGTTGACCAATCAGGGCTACAATCCCATACAATGTGGAGGCATTTCCCACCCAGCATATCCCTTTGGGTTCTGATGATGCCACAATAAGGCTCTTGCCCAACATGCCAAAGATTTTTAGGGCTTGTCCATTCAAAACTAATTTTCAGATGGGGATGCCTTGGCCAAGCCTTTTTTGTCAATTGAATGTAGTTATAGTGCAATACCGGGCCCTAGGGCATAAAAACATACTTTGAGAGAGACTCAAAACCTACCCAGGAATTGGGCCATGCTTGAGCTCTACTGTGGCCAAGGTGCCCGGAAGGAATGTTCCAGTTTTTTCTGAGTTCATATCTTCACAATCCAGTTCCAGATCATGAGTGATCAGATAAATCACATGGAAATAATCTCAAGAACTGTTTGATCTGCCCAACTTTTGTCTCCTAGGCAGAGTCCCAGACAACTTTGCTTTTCCATAGTTCAGAATCCCAAGTCCAGCCGCTCATCCATTGATTCTGTGTCTCTCCTGGCATTATCTAGAATTTGAGTAAATTTCTACAAGAAATCATGGGTTTGGAAACACTTCAAGAGCATCACAGTTGATGATCACATCAGACATGTATGTCAGGTGAAGTTACCAACTGGAAATGCTTATGGTGCTTACATCATCCCCAACAAGTCATCAACCACCAATAGATTAATCCAACATCTGATCTGTATGTACCAAATTTTTGAGACAATTGATCCTGACAAGCACAACTCTGCAGAGCACTGCACAATGGCATAGGTGCATATTTTGTGATTCCATGTTCCAGTGTTGAAAACTACTTGTTGAGGACAATGGGTCCATGTTGTTATATGCATTTTTCATCCAATTTGTCTTGAGAGTTGAAAGACTTGGGTGAGCCCAATTGGCAAATAAAAGATTGTGTTTTGTCACGAATTTCCCTCTAAGAGCTGCATCCAAATGAACCACACAGGTTCAATCCACTTTAGATCCATCTAACATAAAAAGCTCCTTGATAAACTTGGCATATAAGCAGAAATCCTTGTAACATCCAGGGAAGGTCTCTTGATAAGTCTTTTGAAGGATATCAAAATAATAAAACCATTCCTGTACATTGTTAAGTTCTTTGGATTGCAACTTATTCTGTAACTCCAACTTCTTATCTTGACCTTCTGTAATAAGAGATGGAGCCATGCCCTTCTTTGAAGCCAGAAATTTACCTTTGATTGTTTGCAAATTAATGTATTCACCTTGAAGAAGTTCTTTTGACAGTTTGTCCAGGAAATCAGGGGGTTTAATGCTATCATTAAAAGCATTGGCAGCGTTTTTAAGACTAGATGTGTATCCTTTAGTAGCTGCTGAGAACCAGATTGCACTTGGAGAATAATGCTCTCTTGACATGAGACCCATGACCCATGTGTCTTTGAGGGAAAAAAATCTCATTTTTTTGGTGTTTTGCCAATTTCTCATCAGATTTGACATCAACTTTGCAATTTTTTTCTTTCTCTTTTCTCTTCCTAGGAGGAGATTTTTTGTTGGAATCCAAAAGGTAACTTGATTATTTTTTTCTGAGGTCCAACATATAATGAATTAGTAGTACTAGTACTAACCACAAGAAATACCTTTTGATCTGGTGCAGAGTCACACTCCTGCAAAACTGCTAAGCCAATCCCTGGCCTGACTCATAGTCCTAAACAGCCTCAAGCACAGTGCCCGTGGAGAGGGCCCCCGACTTTGGGGGCTCCAGCAAGTACAAAGGCTTGGGCCTCCGACGTCAGGGGTGCCCTTCACGGACACTGTGAAGTCAAATGTTTCCGCATGTTTCTATTAATCACACCCCAGACAGAAATGGGCAAAAATTGTAAGGGCTGTTCATATCCCTTGAAGTGTAATTCTACAAGAGCTCAAAAGGCACTTTATTAGATCACTACCTGTTATAGGATCATTTTAGTGCACTGTGCATTTCTTGTCTTTGAGAGGTGACAGACATGTGCACAAACCAAGGGTTATTCACAAAAAGGTTAAAGTATATTCTTCTTCAAAAAGTAATTTCAATCAAACCCAAGTCCCTCTGCTCATGAACCATGAATAAACACCTCCTTTCCTTGTTTTTTGTTAAAATCAAAATCGAATCATGTTTTGATTTCAATTGTAAACAAATTCATAAACCCTTCGTACCACATCTCAAAAAATTGAAAAAGCTCATAAAGAAGGAAAAATTCAAAGCTTTCCTTGCACGCCGGACATAGTAATTATAGAAACCAAAAAGAAAGAAAGAAAGAAGCCATCAACAACAAAATCAAAAAGCTTTTGTTGTGATTACATTTTAAATCAAGATGAAAATGAAAGAACCTACAACAAAAAAAAGTGAAAATAAAAGAATGCTTCGCACACATAAACAATCAAAACATTAAGAGGAAGAAGACACCAATTAACAAAATCAACGGATAGTAAAAGATCAAGAATATTTTTTTGGGATTTGTTAGGCCGTCTCAAATGACAAAGAACAGTGAATGATAAAGAATAAAGAAGGAAAGAGATTCGATATGTAGTCAAGATATACACATTTACTGAACTTCATCACCAATTCATGTGTTCTACTCCACTTCAACCATTCTTCTCATAACTTCGGGACGTCTCACTTCATTGACGTATGATTGATCTCAATTCATTTTCAAGTTCTTCATCACCCTTAGCATCAATCGTATATTGAACCTGACTGATTTTAAACCCATTGAATTGGCTTGCAGCACAAACTGTATAAGCCCCCATTCGTTCCCATTTAAGCCAGTCGCCAACCTTCAAGACCTCGGTGGGCAAAAGAGTTCGAGGGCAGACCAAGTCGATGCTGTCACATGATGGCCCAAAGATCCTACACGCATGTAACTCTAAACTACTGAAGCTACATACTCCTTGACTCTCAGTCTCTGGTGAGATGATGACAGATGAGAGAGGTGATAGAGATGTAACGGAGGACTCCATATTGTCCTCCGAAAGGGCTGGAGTGTGAGGATGATCAATGATTGTCTCTATCAATGGTCTAGCGCCGTCCGAGTAAAATTTGCCATCGAGTGTTAAGATCTTGGGGTGAACGACCTGATGATCAAACATGATACAATTGAATGCGCCATAGACACCGTCATTGATGTAGTCTGAAGAATCGCAGAAGGACAACAGAAGAATAGCAAATGAGAACAAGATGTCAGTGATCTTTTTGAAGCTTTGGAGGAAATCATAGAATGAGTCCGAGATCTCAAATACGCACATAGTGTAACCGGTTCCTCCTCCGAGTCCACCGGGGCAATCATGGGTGCATCCAATTGTACTTTGGTGTTAGAGACTTGCCGTCGAGCGATGACATTGGTAGCAAGCTCAAAAGCCTCCGTCACAAAGTAACGCCCGGGTTCGGCGATAACATTGACCCCGCATCCAACTGGGAAATATTCATCTAAGCCAGCTAAAAGACCTTCGGCAAGAAACTCGAGGTTATCGTCTCCGAATCCGCCACCAACGTCCAAGAGATTAAACTGATATCCATGCTGACTGGCCAATTCAAAAACCCACTTCGCATGTTTCAAAGCATCTTTGTAAAGCTCTGGGTTAGTACACCCACTACCGACATGGAAAGCAACCCCAATGACATTCACACCCAATTGACGTGCAGTTCCGAGAAGCAAATGAACGTTTTCTAATGGTGCCCCAAACTTTTCACCAAATCGACACAGACTTCCACGATCGTCGATGAGGATACGAATGACCATCTTGGCACTTGGATGATGTTTAGCCACCTTGTGAAGTTCGTCCATGTTGTCAAATGTCATCATTTCGACGCCACTAGCATGTGCATGTCGAATGAAAGAGCCAGCTTTACAAGGGTTGGCATAGATGATGTTGGAGGGTGAAACTCCAAAGGCGAGAACTTGAGCAATCTCCGCATGAGATGCACAATCGAAACCAAGCCCGAGTTTGGCAAACAGATTGATCACATGCGGGTCGGGGTTACATTTGACGGCTATAAGGTAAAACATACAGATTCGGGTTACAATAAGTTCAAGAGTGATTTGGTCAAGAATGTAGATGATTGACTCACCAAAAAAGGGTTTGACTCGTCTACCCATAACCTTTTGCCAACGTAGATACAAGCGATAAACCACCGCTAGATCACAGACATAGAACGCATTCTCTCCGTTGGCTTCGCATTCATCCAAATCGATCTTCTTCAAGGCCGTTCTGAAAGTATCGATAGTTGATCCAGAATTGACAACTGGTAGGATCACGGGTGTGCTTTTGCTCGCCTTTTTAGCATGTCGACGAGATGTACGAGGCGGGATGACTGTGTCGATGGGAATGGAACAAGGTAATTTCGGAATTTCACTTTGTTCGACTACTTCGGATGCAGCCACCAAGAGACGAGCAGTTGGGTCGATAAATGAAGTCGGGTTGATGGAATCCTCGACAACGACATGTTTGACTGTGTTGCTCAAATCAGTAGTGCCTTGCACAGCATAAGAGGTGTCAATCATTTCCTAGCAGATACGAGTGTTGGTTTGTTTTTCAGTGGCGACTTGATGTGAAAGATGATAAGATTTCTTCCAAAATGGGATGGTTGAATAATCGATGAGGATAGATTCGAAAAAGTGACGGCGATGGAGAGGTTGAATTCTCGATTCCGACGAAGCCCCACCCGTAGGCGCTCGTCTGAGACTTGGGACTGCCGATGCGGCTATGGGTCCTCGCCCCCTTTGGCGAGGAAAGCTGAGGGCGTTGTTGAGAGCGAGAAGAGAGTGAGCGAAGAAGTCAACCAAGAATCGAAACTCAGAGAACGGTGAAGTGAGTGGTTGTAGTGAAGAGTGATGGATAGCTTTAAGTTGGAAGGTAATCAGGCCGAAAGCGGGATTTAAAAAAAAAATCAAATCAAAATCGAATTTAGTAACTAGGTTTAGGGTTAAGTCTCAATGTAAACTAGGAAATACACGAACTATGACTTGTACGTTGTAGTCTATGACGATGAATTCAATGACTTCACTTTCTGAAGTCAGTCAACTGTAGATGGTGAGGAGAACGAGGGGTGGAAAAGTTGAAGAAGATGTTGAAGTTAAGGGAAGTGGGAAAACAATGGCTGAGGAAAAGAAAAGGAACCGAGCTATTTAGAGTAAAACTTTCAATGCGCATTGAATCCTGCACTGCATACTTTTTGCACCGAGTGAGTTTTTGCCTGGTTGAATTTCGAGCAAGCCTTCACCAAAACAAATTTAATAAAAACTAGGAACGGCACGAAATGGATGGAGAACTATATGCACCAAGCTCGATCACATCCCACTTGCTTCACAATTTCATCAGCATCCAAAGTATGTAACTTGCCTTCCAACTCAACATCTCTTCGACCAGCCTGTTTACGCAATTTTATGCCCATGAAGCTACCTAATCACCATGCACAATTTAGGATTTAGTAGGCACGCGAACATCTCTTTGGTTTCAATAAGCCCCTCACCCAGCCTGGTCCGCCCCCTCGAAAACAAATATTCTAGCCTTGTGCGGTTCGTTCCTGCTTTTATTTGGCACTTAGATCATATTTTGCAGCCTCCCGATTCATTTGAGTAAGCTCTCCATCCATTTCTTCACCTCTCTTCAGAAGGTTCCCAAGAGCGAGCTCCTCGGAACTTGTCCTCCACTACGTATCTGCAAGACGCGAAACCCTTCATACCCTCAATGATAAAAAAAGTAACTTTAAATGAATTAAATAATTCATTAGTCGGTACCCTTGAAGTTGAGATGCCAAGCTAGAGAGCTTTCTTGATCGATCTTTAAACTTTCTACAGGGAAATCCAGAGTTCTCGGTGTAGTTGTTAATTTTTTAATCCTTGGGCCTCCACCACCCTTCAAGTCTTGATGACATCAGACACCACCTTCTTTTAGGCTTAAGAAAACTCAGATCGTCATTCGATCAGGATTACATCCAAGTTTCTCCATCCAACTCCATTCTTTCATGGCGGGTGAAGAGCATCATGAAGATGCCAATTGTATTGAAAAAAAAGCAAAATCTTGAATCAATTACCTCATTTGACCCCACGACGTCATTGTGATCAGCGTTTGTTTGTAAATGACGGCCGTACGGCTACATAGATCCACTTGGGGGTGAAGGGCGGTCAGAACGCTGGACATTGTTCACCCTGATCGGTTGTTGAGCTTTCTGAAGCAGAACCGGAATTACAAGCCTCATTTGAAGAGATTCCTTTGACGGTTTGCCTTGATTATGTCTACCAATTCTTGAACATTAGGGTTGCCCTTGCTGAGTTGGGACCAGGCAGGTGTCCAGCTTTCAGACCAAATCTGCTCTCGGTGATGTAGAATCAATAGTTTATCAGAAGCCAAACAATATGCCTGGCCTTGCGGTGCCTGGCTCAGCACCCCCACAGTCATTACCATACATAAGAGAGTATCGTGTCAAACTTGTGGATGCAGTTCCTCAACTTGGTGTCAATAAACTCACCGGCCTCGGCTCTCCCCAGTCCCCTTTGTTTTTCAGAAGTGGATGGAAGTAGGTGGCACCTTATAAAATTTGGAAGCCAGACAAAGTGAACCAGTTCAAACTAGAACCCATACAATGCCGAAAAGTGAGCACCCAACCAATTTTTGGTGGAAACATGATTAACGCAAAGATCAGTGCAGGTTGTTTCGTGAAGAGGAAACCGTTAATCTACTTCATAAATCTTATAACTGCTCATGGTATACTTTCCTAATTTGTTAGCTTCGATAGTCTTAGCCAGTATACTACAACTTACAAGGAGGACTTGATCATTGAATGATGGTAATACCAGGAGGAGGCTCACCAAAGAAAGGAGGATTTCCTACCATGCCCAAGCCCAGAGATTTCCAAAGAGAATCTTGATGGATTGATATGGATCAAATTGGCTTTTGTAAAAGTATTTATCCTTAATAATTCCTTTGATCGAATGTGTATTTGTAGATAGATGTAAATAATCAAAGCAGAGCAATAACAGCCAGTTTCAATCCAAATTTTGGTATAGTACACACTTACAAGTGAGAATTATTGCACAGGAGCTTCAACTCAAATATCTCAATAACTTGTACTTTTTAGAATTTATTCATTGTGATCCAAACTGTGTCTGCCCAATGCTCACATACAAGTTTCCATGATTTCAATATACTTGCTTTTCTTGATTTTTCTCATACCAAAGTTGCCCCCTGCCTTCCAAGAGTTTCTGAACATGAAGTATCTCACATGTTTACCAAGCATGGTATCTAGAGTCAAATCCCGGGGGAGAGTGATCTGCACTGTAAACATTTGTGGGATACAAAGAAGAATCCGGGCATGTGCCCGGCTTTGTGCCCGGAATCATTTTGGCAGTGAATTTTGATTTTCTGGGCAAAAGTCCGGGCCCAGAATTCAAATTTACTGCCAAAGAAAATCTGGGCACAAAGCCGCACGTTCCCGGATTCTACTTTGTATCCCGTAATTGTACATCATCCTCAAGTGAGAATGGGAAAATGGTCAAGATTGTAGTTTGTCATGAAAATATATATCACAGCACACTGAGCCATAGCACCCACACTACATATGTGCAGCAAGATGGGGAAATAATTGGGAGCCATCGTGTACATACAGAGCTGCTCAGCTATTGGCTCATCTGAATGAGTAGATCATATGTAATACCTTGTGTGATCTTTTTCAGTTTGGCAAACACAATACAAAAATTGACTACATACACTTACTCATAGTTTTGGTGTAATTCCATCAACTAAACTTCATGTAACAATCTTTCTGTTACTGTTGAATGGCTTTCAGAGCATTGTGTGAGTAACTATGGAGATATATGTAGTCAATGTTTAGAACAATCTTGTCAAACTGGAACAAGTTACATGATGTATCACATGTGTTTTACTCCTCCAGGTGAGCAGGGAACTGAGCAGACCTGTATGTACATGGTAGCTGACAATTTACTCAGCTTGTTGCACATATGTAGTGTTGGTGTTTGGCTCAGGTGTGCAGTGATAGATCTTTTTATGACAGACAACAATAATAATCATTTTACCAGTTCCACCTGAGGATAATGTATAATGTTTGCAGTGCTGTAGTCCACCTACACTTTCTGGTGTGCCCAGGTACTCAAAATAATCTAGTCTAGTGACCATAATCAACACTTTCTCATCCCTGCTGGACAAATGATTCATTTGTGCAAGTGTGTAGCAGTTATCCACCTTTTCCCTTTTGTACCTTTTCTTCATTGCATTGCTTGAAGTGCCTCCTGAGCCAAAGGCTATCAGGTACTGTGACTACTTGTACTCTACTCCAGTAAGAACTCTTGTGGGGAAAAGGAAACATGCTGGCTGTTTGAAGTATTACAAGTGTAATCAGATATATGTAGTAGTTCCAAAACATGGGGAAAATTTATATTGTTTTGTGAGAGGGTTGCTGAGAGGTTGTCAGGAGTCTCTTCCTCAATTATTGAGGCCCCAAACCAGGGGTTTTGAAGTTTCCAAGTTGAGTTGGAGTATTTTGTTATACAATCAAAGGCCTTTGGGTTCTTGAGTAACCCTGTTGATTCATTAAGGTGGAGAAATCAACAGGGACTCTTTGAATTTTGGACAGTGCATTTATGTTTGTATCTATTGTATAAAAATAGGAAACAATCAATGGATTCAACCCCTTCTCCGTAGTTGCAGAGAGTGTCACAGCACTGTTGATGTTGGAAAAGGTAGAAATTTAGATAGATGTGATTTGATCTCAGCTGTGTGATGGTTGCACATTTGTGCTTATTTAAGTTACTGAGTTCCTTGATGTGTTGCTTATGGGAATGCTTAAAGCCTAATCTTCTGATTTCTTTGGTGGTGAAGTTGTTCTTGTTGTATTTTGACCAGCCTTTGATTGCTGATGTAAAACCTGCTAAAGTGGGTGTCAATGTGAAGGTGTGTGGAAGTTCACATTGGGTCAAGTTTCAATTAGAAATTTGTCTACTACTTTGTCACCTTTCACTGTTTGGTGGCCTGGGCATCAATGGACTGTGAATCTCACATTTGTATGTGAAACTGCTATCACTACAAGAAAGATAATATTTTCTGCACGGAAAAGAAAAGTCTTGACATAGAAAACTATTGAGATCTCAGGAGGAGAGCAAAAAATACAAAAAAATGCACCTTGTTGCCTGCTATCAGAGCACTAATCCAATTATTTTTTGGTATTTTTAGAGTCTCTTTTGATGAATGTACTAACAATAAACCTTCATTTCATCAAATTACAACCTGTAACAAATGCTGAGAATTGGCTCACAAAGATCAAATGGACATTTTGATGTCTAAGAAACCACATAACTTTTGCATTTGGGCATGAAAGACCTTGATTTTGAGTTCATTAGAAAGCTGAACATCTGCTCCAGAGCTTTCATTGAAAGTGAAAATGTTTAGCTAGTCTGGTAAGGGCGTTATGGAGACATATGTGTGAATTGTTTCAAACTTCTATAACTTCTTTCACTCAACAGCCAGAGCTCTTAGTCCATAACAAAGTATGTCCAGAATGCATTCAGCTTTCTAATGAGTTAATGATCAAGTCCTTTGGAGCGGAATTAAAAAAGTTATGAGTTTTCTCAGAAATAAAAATGTCCATTTGATCCTCATGAGCCAAATTTCAGTCTTTGTTACAGGCTGTAATTTGATGAAATTGAAGGTTTATTGCTAGTACATTCATCAAAAAAGACTCTTGAATACCAAGAAATACTTGGATTAAAGCTCTGATAGCAGGCAACAAGGTGCATATATTTTTGTATTTTTTGCTCTCCTCCTGAGATCTCAATATTTTTCTATGTCAAGACTTTTCTTTTCTGTGCAGAAAATATTATGTTTCTTGTAGTGTATGTAATTAAGAATTTTGAGAGTTTCCTTTCTGTCAAGTAATGAAGATATGGTTGGTGGGCAGTTGCTGAGATCCTTGATGACTGACTGGTGTAGTGATCAATTTATGGGATCAATCAAAAAACATTAATCATAGCAGTTAAAAGGAATTGTTGATTCCCAATCAGAAATAACAACAAACTTATCAGCAGACAGGAAAGAAGAACTATAAGTCCACAGAGTGTGCTTAATGATAAGGAGGTTGTTTGTGGTGAAAACTTTCTAAAGTG